CCATCCTCCTGCCTCTCCTCCTGTCCTTGTGCTCCTCCTGCTCCCCTGGGAAGCTCCAGGCTGCCGGTTCTTTGGAGAGGCTCCTCCCAGGCCGGAGGTGAGTCCGGTTCCCCGCTCCGAGCTCGGTGCCCAGCGCAGCGTCAGACCCGGCGCAGCTCCCACCCGCAATCCCCTCGCTCCTGCTCCGTCCCCAGCCCATCCCATGGGAGCGAGGCTGGGAGAACCAGCCTAGGAGATGCCTTGCTCCCCCAGTTCCCGTCGGGCGCGGGGAAGCCGGGGCCTCCCGCCGGGAACGGGCAGCTCCTCTGCCGGCGCTCGGCACCCAGAGCGGAGCGGGGAGCCCGGGACGGCGCCGACGGGAGGCCGGAGCCTCGGGCACCCCCAGCACCTTCCCCGGGAGCATCCGCGGAGCCTCCCGCAGCGCCCGCGCTCCCCCGGGAGCTTCCCGGCGGATTGGGGCCATTCCGCGGGATGCGGCCGGGTGCCGATGCCGGAGGCCTGCGCTCCTTGGGCCAGTTCTCTATCACGGTTCCTCTCCCCCATTGCCGATTTGGAATTTTTTTCCTGTTTTTTTTTGCAGGGGGAGGGACCGGGTGTGTTCTGGGCTGAATGACAAGGGGAGGGCCGTGATTAGGACCAAATTTCCGTGCCTCTTGCAATGGTGATTCACGTAGAAACCCGAAGTTGACCGTACGGTGGCCCGTCCTTGTCACTCTATACATAGGAATATACAGGACATACTATAAATATATATATATTATACATACTGTACGGAGAGAGGTCACTCGGCTCCCCGCCCTGGCTTCGGATGGGCACCTCGGCATCCTGTAACGTGGCTTCGACTCCGTGCGGGCAGCGCCGCAACGCGGCACCGGTCCCAATAAAGGAATGAGCATCATTGCCAAGGAATGAGCGTCATTGCCAGGGAATGAGTGTCATTGCCAGGGAATGAGCATCATTGCCAGGAGCGCGTCCTGCCTCGGCCCGCGGCCGCTCCGCGGGGACGGTGGGAGGGAAGGGAGGGAAGGGAGGGACGGCAGCGCCGCGGGGACGCGGAGCCGGAGGCGCCCAGGAGCGCAGCAGGATCCGAGCGCAGCGGGATCCGAGCGCAGCAAAGCAGCGGAGCCAGCGGGAGCAGCGGAGCCAGCGGGAGCAGCCGACACCAGGAGCCAGCGCAGGGAAGAGACCGGTCACCTTTATCCCCGGTCACCATCAGCCCCAGTCAGCTTTGTCCCTTGGTCACCTTTATCCCTGGTCACCATCAGCCCCGGTCACCGTCAGCCCCAGTCACCTTTACCCGGGTCACCTTCACCTTGGTCACCTTTATCCCCGGTCACCATCAGCCCCGGTCACCTCGGGGCCCCTGGTCAGCTTTATCACTGGTCACCTTTAGCTCCCGGTCACCTTTGTCCCTTGGTCACGTTTATCCCTGGTCACCATCAGCCCCAGTCACCTTTGTCCCTTGGTCACCTTTATCACCGGTCATCTTTATCACCGGTCACCTTTAGCCCCGGTCACCTTTAGCCCCGGTCACCTTTAGGCCTGGTCATCTTTATTCCCTAGTCACCTTTACCCGCCTCCAGACACCTTTATCCCCGGTCACCTTTATCCCTTGGTCACTTTTACCCCTGGTCACCTTTACCCCGGTCACCTTTTCCCTCATCACCTTTATCCCTGGTCACCTTTACCCTTGGTCACCTTTACCCCGGTCATCGTTGTCCCTTGGTCACCTTTAGCCCTGGTCACCGGGTTGTCCAGGCCGCTTCTTGCGCTTGGGGAATGATCATTAAAGAAAAGGCCATTAAATCACCCCGATTCCTGATTCCCGATTCCCCTTCCCGGCCTGGGTGCACGACCCGCTCCCGAGGGTGTCCCGAGGGGACGTCCCCGCGCCGGGCGGTGCTTCCGTGGGGACAAGGACGCGGATGCAGCCCGGGATGAGGGGCAGGGAAGGGGCCGCTTGTGAGGGCTGCCGAGAAGGGCAGGGAACGGGTCGGGCCGGGCGAAGCTGCCGGGAACCGCTGGGAATTCCGAGGTGGGAAACGCACACGGCACCGCAGGGCCAAAGCGGGACGCCACGCAGGACAAAACGCCCTGTTTAATGCTCTTAAAACCCCAGGGAAATTGGATTTTCCCTACGGCAATGGCACAGCGCTGCTATTTTGGCTTAATATATAATAAATAAACAGCAATAATAAATAACAGCAATAAATAGCAATAATAAGACATGAGCGTTTGCTGCTCATTGAGCGCAACGGAGTTTGCAGCTCCGTGAGCGCTGGCTCCTCTGCTGTCCCCCTGCAGGTGACAGTGGCCCTTGGCGCCCTCGCGGGTTGGGGACTCCGTTCACGACGTCCCCAAGGCCATCGCGTGGCCCCTGGGGGCGGCTGGTTTCACCCAACGCCCCCCGCCATGGATTTGTTGACAAGATCCAGCGGGTTTACAGGAAAGCGGATCCTTTCCCGAGCGCGGAAG